ATTTTCTCCCACTTCTGTGAATGAATATATATATACTAGATTTTAACCCGTGGTACACCGCGGGATGATTTATTTTTTAAAGTTAGTATATATAAAATTTTATAAATTGTATCTCCTTATAAAATATTTATGTTTTATAGTTTATAATTATTATCAAGTAACGATATATCACGAGTTCACGGAACAATAATAAACTGAGGATTTAACTCGTATTAAAGCGGCATATTAATGATATATTAACATTTTATAAATATTGATTCAAATCCATTCGCCATATAAATCCGTCCGAAATATAACCCGTCCTATAATTTCTTAACCCGTCCCGTGATTTGTTTTCTCAAAGTAGTGATTTTAAAATTTAATGATTTTTTATATATATAAAGTTTATAAATTGTATCATTCTCTAAGACATTTATATTTTAATAAACTAAGGATTGAATCTGTATTAAAGCGATATGTTAATGATATTTTAAAATTTTATAAATGTTGATTCAAACTCGTCCACCATATAACCCGCCCTGTAATTTCTTAACCCGTCCCGTAATTTGTTTTCAAAAGTAGTAATTTAAAAAAATTTAACGATTATTTATTATAGATAAAAATTTGTAAATTGTATCATTTTCAAAGATATTTATATTTTATAGTTTACAATCGTTATTAAGTAACATTATACCACGGGACAATTTTTGATTTTATATAATCTTTTCTAAATTAGACTGATTTGATGTCTAATATTGGTGGTATTAAAAAAAATTAAGGATTTAAATTAAAGAGGCGGATTAATGATATTTTAATCTTTTTATTATTGTTGATTCAAAAATCCGTTCCGTCAACCCGTCCAGCCAAAAAACTCATTTATTTTATTAATGTTGATCATATTTATGATATAATTCTGAATCATTGTAAATATTTTAATCGATGTAGTACGTTGAACACACATTTTCTTCAATTGGATAATATATGTCCGTTTTTAAAATTTCGAATCACAGTATATGCAGAAAAAAAAATTGATTTTTTTTTTTACTTTATGTATTATATGATGATTCAAAACAGTTAAAAACAAATAAATAAAGATGATAGGTGAATCATAATTCTAAATCTTAATCAAATCTTCTAAATATCTAAATTATTAAATATGGAATATCCGCTGTATGAGTTGTGTTATATGAAACCCGACCCTACAAACTTTTTATGACCAAAATTTGGAAACGGGTCAGGTATCCAAATAATCCGGGAGTATTTTTACCTATCCGTCACCAAAATGACTGCAAAAATATTAGTATAGATATATAACAACGAAAACACTTAATTAACAAATTTAATCGAAACTAATAAAAAAAAAACACTTTCCTATTCGTTTTTTTATTACAGATTTCTTCCACCTTCAGGTAAATTAAATAACCCTTAAGTTTTGATTTCGGTTAAGGTCGACAGAACAAAATCCAAAAAGCTCAATTTTCATATCCAAGATAGGTTTAAACTTTAAAGAGTATTTTAGGTTTTAATTCATCATTAAACCAAGAAAGAAAAAAACATTTGTATTATATATTTATATATTATTGGTTATGTGACAAAGACTCATTAACTCGAAACCAAACAAAAATTTTGTAATAATACGAACAATACATAAATTTTAATAATACCAACACGCTCCCGAATTTATGTGATCGAATTTGAATTTTGGTCATAGTTTGGATCCGTTTTCCTTAACTCAAACAATTTGAAGTGAAAATAGACTGTTTAGACCTATAAATCTCTATAGTTTCATAACATATTTTTTTATTCGAATAAAACCGATTTACCGTATCTCAACTATGGTCTTGAATGGCTGCAGTTTTTGGAGTAGTTTTTTGGCTTAGGGCATACACAACGGCGAACCCTTTGGCCGAGTGTATGAATTAAAAAACTTAAAAAAATACAAAAAGTGAAAAAAAAGTTGAGACTCGAGTGTAGCAGTACACCCGGGTATGAAGCATTAAAAAAAAGGAAAAAAAAATCCTGTCTCTACCTCTCTCTTATCTCTCTCTTTAACTTTTGCATTATTTTTACCTTTTCTTTAATTACATACACCCGCTGGTCGAGTGCTGCAATGTGTATGGTCTTATGATTGTGCAACAATCCAATAATTACACATTCATGATTTTACAAAAAGTAACTCCATTGTAGAATTCGGGCCTAATGATTAATCAAGAAGCGATGGGAACGACGGAACCCATGAATATAGAAATTTCCTAAAAAATAGGGAAACCAGATTTTAAGAGATTGTGGCTTTTCTTCACAGAATCCAAAAACCAAGTTTTGTGGGTTTTTCTAAACAATTTAGGTCAATTTTTTTTTTTTAATTTTTTTATTTTATTTTAAATATGCTATTTTTACCATTTACCAATTCATTTAAAACTAAAACTTTATTCTATGTAGAAAAATTAAAACCTAAACAAATTACCATTCAAGATTTTGAAAAACTAAAATCTACTCCAAAAATCAAAAACCACAAAAATCAGAAACCAAAAACCAAAATCCAAAAACTAGAATCTAAAAACCAATAAAAAGCTACCAAACATTCAGGACCTATATGTTGAAATTGAGATTTTATATAAATTTTTACGTTGTGAATAAATAAAATTAAAAATTTCTAAAAAAAATTGTAAACTCGAATTTGAGTAAAATATCACAATTGAACTTTTTAGAAAATCAATTAATAAAATATCTTTTTTAATTTAAGCTTCTTTTTTTTTAGTATTGGGATATTTTGCGGGCTTTAAATCATTTCCTTGACCCAATTTTCCTATGTGGTGGACACTCGACACAAAAAAACATTAAAAAAAAAAACAAAAAAAGGTTTAAAATGTTTATGGGCCGAAGCCCAATTAACATCTCAACAGCTTTTTTGAGTGTTGTTGACTCGGAAATAAAAATGAAGAAAAAGGATTAAAATTAAAAAGAGAAGAAGACGTTTAGGCAGAGAGGCTTAAGCGCTGCTGTGTCAACCTCTTTCTTTTAACCAATCACAATCGCCTTCTTCCACGGCGGTTCTCCGTCACAGGTCCCAATCTCGGCGACGGCGAAGACGACTGGTACATTATGTTGAAGCTTTGGAGATGGTATCAGCGATGCCTGACGGTTCATCCAGTGAAAACTCAGGTCATCAGTTCTGGATTTCTTTGGGGATTTGGCGATGTCACCGCTCAATACATCACTCACTCCACTGCGAAACCTCGTCTTCTTCGTCTCACCGTTAGTCATTTTCCGATCTCCCTCTCTCTCTCTCACCGATTTCTTCGTCTGATTGAAGTTTCAAATTGGGGTTTCGCTACGATTCTTGATTGTATTCGTTCTTCTTTTGGTGCGAATTTGATGAAATTAGTTTAGTTTCTTAGGTATCTCTGGGTTTCATGATTGTGCATCAGTATATTTGGGGCATTTCAGTGAATCGGTTAGTGCTTGATCAATGTATTGATTTATGTAGCTCTTCCTTAGACATTGATACTATTTCTGGAGTTTTTCTTAGGTGCTTGTTAAATTTCCACTTTGTTCTCACCTTCTTGCTGCTACATCTTTCAAGGATTTGAGTTCTTCTTCTCCGTTAACAGGTTTCTGTGATTGTTAGCTTATGGTCTCGATTCTTGGGGTATTCTTTTATGGTAGAGAGATTCTGGAACATTAGGTTGTGTTGCTTGAGTTGTAATTAGGTCATTTGAATATTGAGCAATAGTATTGATTTGTGTCTAGGCTCTCTATGGCTGTTTGAAACTTCTTGAAGTATAACACATCTATTTACTTGTTTGCTTAGATTCCATGATTGCCTAATAGCTCTTTCCAACAATCAAAGATGTTTTGATGATTAAGCCAGAACTGTGGGCTACTACAGCTTCAGTGTTCTTTACAAAGTTTGAACAGTTCAGAAGAGACAATGTGTTTTGTGACTCTCTATGTTGTTAGTGTGGTACTTGCATGTTAACATTGCAATATAACTTGCTCTGTTGGTCCATTGGTTACACATGTTAATGCCGTTCTATATTTTTTTCTGGATTAGCAGCTCTAGTCTATTGCTTACCTTCTATGAAATTATGAGATGCTTTTTTGACTTGTGACATCTTTGCTGCGAGACAACACTTTCGAATTCATTTGCCATTAGAGATCATGGTATATTGTTTCTGAGTTTTGGCTATATATCGAGATTCTATTGACATATGTCGACTTTAGCACTAAAACCATGTTCAATATAACAGGAAACAAATAAAGATGCTGACGCAGATGCAGAATTCAAAGTCAACTGGAAGCGAGTAGCTATCACGAGCATGTTTGGGTTTGGTTTTGTCGGACCTGTTGGCCACTTCTGGTTTGTTTCCTTCTGATCTCAGATCGTTTTTTATAGCTTTTGTATATCATATACAAAAACCAATGTATAAACCAATGTCCTCATGTTACCTCTCACATAATCAAGTGATACTGAATCAGATACTGATAAAGAATGGTCTATGGTAGGTTGATAAACCTGATATTGTTCTATTTCTGGTTGCACAGGTACGAGGGCCTGGATAAATTCATAAAACTGAAGCTTCGATATGTACCAAAGTCAACACGTTTTGTAGCTGCCAAAGTTGCAATGGATGGTCTTATCTTTGGGCCTATAGATCTACTGGTGTTCTTCACATACATGGGATTCGCTACAGGAAAGAACACAGCTGAAGTGAAAGAAGGACTCAAGAGAGATTTTCTTCCGGCTCTAGCTCTTGAAGGCGGAGCATGGCCACTTCTTCAGATTGCAAACTTCAGATATGTTCCCGTGCAATACCAGTTGCTTTACGTCAACATCTTTTGCCTAGTAGACAGTGCCTTCCTCTCATGGGTCGAGCAACAAAAGGACGCAGCTTGGAAGCAATGGTTTACTTCATCATTTCAACCATTAAAAGAACGAGGTGGCCAAGGCGGAGTATGATCGTTTTCCCTGTCATAAACTTTGAATGAAAACAAAAACGAGTGTAATTGGCGATTTTCAATAACGAAAGTTGCCTAGGATACAGATTCTTGATCAAATATTATTTTGTTTCACAAGAATTCAGTACAAGTGAATAAATGTCTGTTAGAATTGAAATATTGAATGAATGAAACAGGATATGGCTAGACTAGAGAAATGAGCTATGACCGCCTCCGAGTGGTACTCTTGGAAGAAACACTGCAGATGCCTCAAGGCATGGACAATAGTTGAAGCTAATAGCCTGAAAAGTGCACAGAAGAGAATCAATTCATGGTTCTATAGTTGTCAAATCTTAAAACACAAATAAAAACGATGACTTTAAATGGTAAGTCACGTACGGGAACACTGAGTAGTAGTCCGCAATGATTGATCAAGACCGGGAGGCTTTTTCTTGCAGCAGCTGGGATCAACTTTAAGGACCTGAGAGCTTTTTGTGAGGATGACATAGAATGGTTTGAGTTCGAGCATTTTGAAAGCTCAGCTAGATATAGCCAGTCGGATTCAACCATGTGCCGAACCTCCATTGATGTAGCTGTCCTCACTGGACAATTTCCGCAGCCAGCTTCATCACATTGGTGGTCACTCAAGTTCCATCTGATGAGAAACCGGTTCATGAAGTAGAGATTTTGCCCTGGCAAAAGAAGTACATTATCAGAGGAAGATGCAATGTTGGTTCCATGCTCAGATTCATCTACAGATTTGTCTTCTGTTGTAGTTATGAACCGATTGGTTTCATTCCTTTGCAGTAGACCAATGGTTGTATAGGTCGATTCGCTGAGAAGATTGAGCTCTCTGGCTTTACTCAATACGGATTCAGATGCAACAACCAAAAAATGGACTTCAAACAATTTGCTCGGGGCCTCATGGTCTGAAATAGATGTTGCGTCTGATATGATTTTACTGAGGTCATCAGAAGTCGGTTTTTTCTGAGCTTCATTGACGCAAATGTTCACGAGTTCTGTCTTTGATGGTAAAGGACAGTCAACAGAACAAGAAACTATAATTTTGGTACCCTTGGACCCAGGAGCTGGACTAAGGTAGCAACCAGCAGCTGTTAGAGATGTCTGAGTACCCAAGTGAAGCAAATGTTACTTGAAATAGTACAGATTAAATTCTAGAGGAGCAGAACAACATTAAAAATGATTACCCTGCACGGAATTGCGCGGATATAGTTCAAAAGCAACTTTGAAGTGTTTCCTCTGACTGGTCTGTGCCGTTGAGAGATAAACTGAAGATTCAAGAGAAAAGAAGAGTCAAGAAAATACTCAAAAGGGCAGTAACTTTACCAAAGAAAAAGGTTCAAGATCTAACACCTGCAAGACTGCAGCGAGATACTTTGAGAGGCAAATGTCTTTAACTTCTGTAGGATTTAGTCTCTCTAGATCAAGAATAGCATACCCTTTCTGTCAATACCAACATCAAAACACAGATGATTTTTCACTCTTACCGAGTCAGAAACAGCTTATACATATGGGCTTAAACCGCAAAATGCTCTTACATCTGTCACTGTTACGGTCTGACTTATTAAGTCTGTACAAAATTTATCAACAAATGAACGTGTTCTTCGGCATTCAGAAATGACTGCATGAAGCTCTGACTTGAAGCTACCTGAAAATAAAAACAAGAACTTATATTAGTCATCAAGCTTTAGAGGACTAGTCCGGTTTGATGTTTGATAGACTTGCCTGAATGTAGATTTCCTATTGACGTTCGAATCCTGTTCCGGACAAACAATTGACTACGATTAGTCGGATCTTCAACCCAATCTTGTCTACCCCATTGACATATCTGCTAGCAAATAAGATAAAGAGTAAATGAGAATAACCATAAAACTATAAAAGATTCTTGAGTTTCTAGTTTCGAGAGAACCTTATACATGTCTTCTTTCCATAAATCTAGTAGCGGACGCACTAAGAGAATAGATCGGTTCTTTATATGTTTTGCATCTAACTGCAGATTTCTGGAGAAAATCTCGGAAGCAAAAGCTGTACCCGCAAGCCCAAGTACACCGCTACTACGAGATAACCTGAGAATGAATAACTCAGCCTGCATCCAACTTCAGACAACATTTCATGAATATCTCAATATGACAGTTTACATTCTCAAGAGCCAATTACCTGGTCATCGGCATGATGAGCTATAAGTAAGACCTCAATCTGATGTCGAAAACAAACATTCGAAATCATTTGATACCTATAAAAAGATAAAAACACATGAACACATAGTTTCTTTACATGTGATGATTCAAATCAACACAAATATAAAATATAAAACCTCATTTCACGAGCTGCTTCTTGCAAGTGACCAAGCTTTGGTCTACCATCAACCCAATCACAACTTGCAATCTCACATCTAATACCTATAAACTTTCCCCAAGTTACTAAAACATACTCAAAAAGGTTAAATCAAATCTTCATACTCAAAAACTTACCCATTTGAGAAACTCTAGAACAGACAAGTTCAGCTTCATCTTTACTCTCTTGTCTTAATCCATGATCCACAACTATAGCAACAAGTCCATCAATGAAACCATCTGACTTATTAACACAACTTAATCCTTCAGTTTTCCATTTTGCAGTTAGAACACAAAGAGCCATACTATCAGGACCACCTGAAACTCCCAAAGCTGAAAACACACAACATAATTGTCCAATCACTGTTTCTGTTTAAGTGGAACCAATTCAATTGAAATTTAGCAATTACCAATTCGGTGGTGAGGTTTAAGTCCTGCCATAGCCATTCTTTTATTGAAAAGCTCCTTATACTTCGTTTCGTCCACCGTCTCGGGAACACATGCGTGGTTACAGAACAATCGTGAGAATTTTGGGTGGCGAGATTGATGTGGATATGAAGACGTGAAAAGGGTTTTCGGAGAAAAGGAAAATGAAACCCTAAGGATGGAGTTTGAGAGTAAAGTCGAAGACTTTCTTCCATTGGAGCAGAGAGACAGACCTCGCGCCATTTACGAACGAGCGAACTCGCGAGTTGTGTCACTTCGAGTTTAGTCTTATTCCTTTTGAAAATTTGTTTTTTTTTTTTTTTTGGATTACATTCGATTTTTGGTTATTTTATAAATTTTGTAATTTGGTACTTTACCACTGCCACAAACACAATTTCAGTCGATTTTTTGGTCTATTTTATAAATTTTGTGTTGTGATTCGTTAGAAAGAAAATACATGATTGAATCACCGGAACGCAATAACTTTGATGGATTGGTAAAACGGTAAGCCAAAGTAGAAAGACAACAAAAGCGTGCAAAATTCATTTTTACCGCTTTTTTACCATTCTTTCTCTCTTTTCGGTCGTATTGATGACACAAAGCTGTAAACATCTTTAAACGGAAAAAAGAAACAGTGAGCGATATCGAAATAGTTAGAAGAGATAAAACAAAAGTAACAATAAGAGATGATTGGTAACTAATAAAGCGGTAAAACCGAATAGTTGCGGTATGAGTTACCAAACGAAGAACCCTTTACCGTTTATGTCACCAGTCGCACTTTGTATGATCTAGATTTGAAAAATCATTCAAACCAGAGAAAGCCCCCAGGGTTCGAATCCTTTTATACGGGTTGTAACTGGTACAACTAGGAAATATTCGGGAATATTCTGGTACAACTAAGTTGTGGTACAACTAGGAGGTACAGTACAATTAGGTGGTACAACTAGGAGTTCCTACAACTAGGAGGTCAGTACAACTGGTACCAGTTGTACCACGTATACCTAGTAAAGGGGTAGTTTCGTCCTTTCATTAAAAGGATGAGAGTATGTAGATTAGAGGAGAGTATGTAGATTAATTCTTTGACTCTTAGGAGCAATTGAGATTAGTCCCCGGTTATATGACTACTGATTGTTCCTAACCGAACCGGTCTAACTTTGAGAGTATCGTTTTCGATTCCGCTAACTTTTACCGTTTTTATGATTGGTAAGTAATAAACCGCTAAAATCTGTACCGCTGTAGTATGAGTTACCAATCAAAACCAAGAACCTTTTACCATTTTTGTCATCAATTGAACTCTATATGATCTAGATTTGATGAAACATCCAAACCAAAAAAAAGCTTCCAATCTATAGTCAAATCCCAAAAACGAGAGGTTTGGTTATGTGACTAGTGATAGCTTCTACTTTGTAGATGTATAATGAACAATGTGTTGGAACTTAACCAAACTAGGCCAAAAGGCCCAAGAACATAACAAACAAGTACTTAATGAAGAAGAAAAAAAGAATGAAAGAATAATATTCAACCAAGAATCAAAAACATCACAACATCTAAAGAAGAAACCCAAAGAAAAACAAATTTAAATGTAATCATTATATCGTAGTAGATCAATTAGAGACTAAGGCAATTTCCTCAAATCTTTACAGTTAATAAGAAAAAGAATCCAAAAACCCCTGCAATTTTCTCATCTCTTGTGGTTTAAAGAGAAGGTCCACTATAACCTTGACCGGTTTTTTTAATCTTCCCCATCTCCATTTCTCGTGTGGCTTGACCTTCGCTGCTCGAACCAGACGGGTACAGTCCGTAGTCACTTGTTGGATTACTGTACTCGCCGGTTGTGCCGTATTCTTGAGTTCCTAGTGCCATTTTCCTAAACTTCTTCATGTCGTCGTTGTATTGGCTTGTGTCATAGTCTGTGCTTCCTCCATATGAGCTGTAGACGTTGCTGTGACCCGGTCTCATCCCTTCGTTTAGATCAGAGAGCGATACATTTCCTTCTAAGGCGCGCACTATCTGCTCAGTTTGTACAGCAAATTACTCACTCCATTAGCATTATTTAACAAAAGAAACCGCAGCTAAGAAAATATGTTGCCAATTCTTTGGACAAGTCAGCTTTTATTCAACCGGTGTTGTTTAGATAGTATGGATGTGCAGTAAAAAAGTAAGGCTAGGCATAAAAACACAACTGAACCGAAATTTCTCACTGACACCAAACCAAAAACCAAATAAACAAAATCAAACCAATCTCAAGGTGGAGCAACCAAAACAAGCCAGAAAAACCCGAAAAACCAAAGTGAATGCTCTTCCCTAGAGAAAAGGATGATTAGGGTCAAATTAAGTTACCTGGCTCATGCGAGGTCTGCGGCGAGCTGAATGGCGAACACAAGCTGCAGCGCAAGCAACCATGCGAGCCATTTCCTCTCTGTCATACTCGTTACCCATCTTTGGATCAGCCAAACCTTCAAAATCTCCTTCCTCAGATGCTCGGTTAAGCAAGGGTCGTGCCTGTTCCACCATCAATCACACATAGCTTTTGCTTCAGTCAACAGTCAAAATTGTAGAAAAATCAGAAGTTCAGATTATCTGCAGTCATAGTAAGTACCCAGTCAACTAAGCTGTCATCTACATAGACATTGTTTGCATCAACAGGGCGCCTCCCGGTTATAAGCTCCAAAAGTACAACACCAAATGAGAAAACGTCAGACTTTTCTGTGAGCTTTCCGCTTGCAGCATATTCTGGAGCCAAATACCTAAAATCCCCAAACCAAAAGTTTCAGAATTTGTACAATGATAAGGATCACTTACATTTAGGAAACTGCATAAATGTACATGTTTAGTAGATTCAAGATGATATTTACCCAAAGGTTCCCATCACGCGTGTAGATACATGAGTGTTTGTATCAGAAGCAATCTTGGCAAGACCAAAATCAGCAACCTGACAGATAAAAGAGCTTCAGTGACACGAATTACGAAAACACTTCACAAACATATCGAATAAAGAACTTTGTCATACCTTAGCTTCAAACTTGAAATCTACAAGTATATTTGCCGCCTTAATATCACGGTGAATGATTTTCGGATTGCCTGCAAATATTTTTATATATACCTCATAAATAAACAAAGACTATATTATATAAAACATCTATATACATCTCAGTTTTTAGACTTACAGTCTTCATGAAGATATGAAAGTCCTTTAGCAGATCCAAGAGCAATCTTCAATCTAGTACTCCATTCCATCGTAGGCCGTCCCTTCCCTATAACAAATTCAATTCCCAAACAAATCATCACTAACTGAAAACAACAAAGCAATGTGGTAAAAGCACAAAAAAAAAGAGTTAAGTTTAGTTCTAACCATGGAGGTGAAACTCAAGATTGTTGTTGGGGACAAACTCATAGACAAGCAATCTTTGAACACCGGCCATACAATAACCAATAAGAGAAACCAAATGCCTGTGATGAACTCTGCTAATGATCTCAACCTCAGCCTGAAACTCTCTCTCTCCCTGACCACTTCCAGCTTTCAACTGTTTCACAGCAACTTCTTTCCCACTAGGCAATATACCTTTATGCACATAACCAAACCCGCCTTGTCCCAACAAATTAGCCTCAGAGAAGCCATTAGTAGCTCTTGACAGCTCCTCATAAGTGAAAGTGCTTTTAGAAAAGCCTAACACAAGCCCTGGAGATGGTGGAGGAAGAACCGGAAGATCCGAATAGTCAGAACCGCCACTGCTACTCATGAATGCCGGTGGTGGAGGAGGCGGCGGAGGTTTTCGTGGTGGAGATGGAGGTTTAGGTGGTGGCAATGACGTCACTACGTGATTATCTGACGGTCGTGATGCGTTTTGTTGTTGCCAATACTGTTGTTGTCCACCGTAAGGTCCTCCAGCTGATAAACAACATCAAATCTCTGTAAAGTTTGAAACTTTTCTACACAAGTAATCTCTTTTACAGATAACAATGCATAATCAAGTATCAGAATTGAACAATTATAGTTAAAGATTTGATTTTTATTTCATAAAGTTGAGATCTTTGAATTTTACCTTTGGGACCAGGAGGAGGAGGTGGAGGAGGAACATAGTAAGCAGCTTCATCATCGTGTCTTCTTCTTCGTTTCTTCTTACAGAGAAGACAAATCAGAGTCAACACAACAAGCGCAACAACTCCTCCAATGGCGATTCCGACCACAACTCCTGTAGATAATCCATCGGAAGAATCAGACGGCGGCGAAGGATTAACGTTAGATGGAGTTCGAGGAGTAGGTCCTGAGGGAGTGTTTGGTGGTCCTTGGTTTGGAGATGGAGGGCTTCGAGGGTTTGATCCAGGAGTGGTGGGAGAGGGCGGAGATGGAGTGATGGGAGCGGAGGGAGATGGTTGAGGAAGAGGAGGAGTGGAAGATCCAGGAGGAGATGGAGGAGGAAGAGAAGGAGGTAAAGGAGAAGAAGGAGGAGGAGAGGTTGAATTAGTTGACGGCGGCGGAGGAGGAGAAGAAGGAGTTGTGGTGGGAGGAGGAGAGGAAGATGGAGGAGGAGTGGTGGTTGTTGAGTTTGTGGGAGGAGATGGTGATGGAGTAGTTCCTGGAGACGGCGCTGTGGACATTTTTGCTTCTTCGATCTAATGAATAAAGAATCTCTTTTTCACGAGAGAAAGAGAAGAAGAAGAGAATGTGAAAAAGGTAGGAGAAGAGAGAGGAGGAGTGATCTGGTGCCACCGAGAGTAGAGTTTTTTGGTAAGGAATTTGGACAATGGAAGAAGCTGTTCTTTTTGGGTCTAACACGATTCGTCCGCGTCATTTCTCTTTTACGTTCTTTCTTCTTATTACACAAAAACAAAACATCCGCGTCGTTTTTTTTGGACTAGAAACAATTTGAAACAAAAAAAAAAAAACTTTTAAAAAACATGTTTTATTTTGTGAATGTACAATTTAGAATTGACCAGCAAATTTAAATTTTAAATTTATTGTAGAAATATAAAATAATAAAATTTTGATATTACATCATTTTTAAACTAGATAATATTATAAATATACCATCTGCTTATTATATCTTTAATAAATTTCATTAGTTGTATTTGTTTTAGTAAGAACTATATAGTAGTATCATTTTAAGGAAAAAAAATTAAGCGACACTTTCAAATATATCTAACTCAAATGATTGTTTAAAATATAATTCAAAACTATATCTATGAACATAATAACGTATTCTTTTTTTTTTTGTCAACAGCTTTTAATAACGTATTCATAAACACAAAATTAGTAATTTAATCTTACAATCTGTTTGCTAAATTTATCACTTTATTTTTAGTGGAATATATATTACAAAATTAAAGTTTAAAGAGAAAATGTTGACAAAAAAAGAAGAGAAAATGTTTTCTCCTAAACAATCATTCAGTCACTAAAAAGGTTTTTCCTTGAAATAATTAGTTTTGCTTAATTAAAGTGACTAGATCGAGTCGAGGAACTGAATAAATTCGAAAGTTACTTTTTAGTCTTTTATTTTTGAGAAAATGAAAAGTGATGTGTCGTTGCAGACAATCTATCTTGCCAAATAAGATGTAGACGCGGAACTATGCATCTAATGAAAACACTGAATAATTCGATTTTCTATGACCATAATACGAAACAAGAAACTTTAGATCCTCTTCCATTTTTTTTTTTTATGGCCATCGAAATTCCTACGATTTTTAATATTGGGCATGGAACCAGAACCCAAAATAAATAATTAAACATGTGGTTAACGGTAAATGATATGATGTAAAAAAGTGCAAAATAGTTATAAAAAAAAATTACATGTACGAAATTAGGTATACAATGGTAAAAACAAAAAAAATCAATGGTCAATGTTATTAGTTATTACACAACTTAAGAAAATTAAGAGAAGCTATTAATTTTGGCCATCTGATTTTTTTTTTGTTTAACATCTTTTTCTTATGCTCATAAGTCATATGATATACATATTAGGCAATTAGACTCTTAATAGTATAAAATTTCGTAATATATTTTCTGTTTATAGAAAATATAAGATTGAGAATGCGTAATTTAAGTTTTTTTGAATGTTTGGAAATAGTTGGGATTCTACTTGCTCCAAAGCGAAGGAAAACAGCTGGAGGGCACCAGCACAAATTAAAGGCCACCTATTACATTGACATTTCCCCTAATCTCATTATCCAAATTGTCAAGTTACACCAAAATAAAATAATCCACTACAATTGAAACGGGCAACAAATAAATATTTTGTTAATCAAATTCGATTAAGGTTCTTAATGTCACGTCAATTTTAACATTGGAAGTCGGTCTTCAGATTCTCAGATAATGTTTTTGCACATAATAATATAAGTTTATGAAAATAATTATTGTATTCGGTCAATGGCCTATCATTTGGTTTTATGTTAGTTTACTTAAACACACGCCAAATCTAAGGAAAAACAAATTCAACGCGGCGTAATTGCGGTGATTATTTGTTAAATTAAGTATGGTCAATTTAGTTTATACATGCCGGAGATATTTTGGTTTGCATATTATTGAACAGATTTGATTTTAAATAAAATATTCAAATAAATGTTCAATTCATTTTTTTGTTCATTTTATCGTATTTCCCTTTTATATTCAATTGTGAGAAAAATAATAACGTCCCCTATATATTATGGAATAGTGGTAGAAGTCTCACATTACAAAGTCATACAAAATAAGCTAATCTCCAATATATGATTACTTAATTAATCTAGTTTTTTGTAAGCTAGCTAATCTCCAATATAACTCTTCTCTTTATCTCTACTTATGTTGTTCAGTACCAACTAGATTAAGTGTATGACCAAAAACTAGATTAAGTGGGGTTAACTTTATATCAACTGTTAAAAAAAATATGTATGACCCAAAACGAATTTAACTTTATATCCTTTTCTTCGCATTATGGTTTGAATATCTTTATTTTTTTTTATTCTCGTATTGCTTATGATATTTATTTAAAGCAATAATAATAACGATGAAAATTTTGTTACTAATGTAAGTGAATTTTGCAAGGAGTGAGATGGAGTCTCTATTGGTGGGCGTGTGTCTTGGATAACTTGTCTCTATCACGAGATGAGTGAGATAAGAAAAATGATCTCTTATTGCAAAGTCATACAAAGATTTATTTATAGGAAAAAAACAATTGTTTCCCCCAAAAAATTACATGATTATTTGGTATAACATTATGAACATGATTAGTTGTGTGAAAAATCTTTTAAAAACGTATGAGTGGGGTTACGCGATAATATAGAAAAGTAAAGCGTCACATGGGGACATTATGATTATTTGGTATAACATTATGAACATGATTTGTGGCATGACATTCGCTGGTCTCACTCACCTTCTAATATTCTCTTATTTTCTAATGGTTTTTTCTTAAAGAAAAAATTAAAGCTGTCAACATCAAAATTAAAAAAAAAAAAACACACAAGCTTAAGATAAAAATCGCAACTCTCTCTTGGTCCTATCGCCCCCATTCTCTTATAGCTTCGGTCCAGTCAATTTTGGCTTTTTTCCCAACTTGTATTGTTTTTTTTTTTTTGGTGTGTCATAGGGAGGCAATCGAACTTTATTACTAAACTGAAAAAATATAAACTAAATTCGGACATGCCTTGGAAACGCAGTTCCTCGGACATCATCCTCAACAATCGTCGCCACAGAAGGTGGGACAACCTCTAAAAAATTAAAACCTAAAGGTAATGAAAACGCATAGTTAGCTAACCCGTCAGCAAGACGGTTAGCCTCCCTATACACATGAGAAATTCGGACAATCCAGTCCCTTGAAAGAAAGCCATGGCACAACCGCACCAGGAAAGACAACGGGTTCGTCTCGCTAATCCCCTTTGTCAAAAAACCAACCACCACCGCTGAATCCACCTCTAGCTCCACCCTTCTAATGTTCCTCTCCCAAGCAATATATAGCCCATAATATACCCCCCCATAATTCAGCTAGAGGGGCTGAACATATACCCACATTTAAGGCAAAGCCACCACACCACCGGCCCGCCCCATCCCGCAACACTCCCCATGCCGTCGCCAGCCCTGGATTGCCATGTGATCCACCATCCGTATTCAATTTCAGCCATTCCCCCTCTGGAGGCTTCCAAGCAATCATGCTTTCCACCCGTGGTCTCCCTCTGTCTTGTTCTCGGACCAACATATGAGCATGATGAACCTCATTAGCCAAATCTCTTACAAACTTAACCCGGTCCCTACACTTCCCCACCTCCCCAAAGACATATCCACACCGCCATTTCCAACTCCACCACACCACCATAGCAAACATAGTTGACCAAGGGCATCCCGTCTCATCACTCTCGACCCGCAAGTTTTCATAAAGCCATTCCAACAAAGAACACACAAAGAATCTTGACATCTTTGTTCGCGGTACTATCCGTCTCCAAATACCCTCAATAGACGGGCAATCGCGTAAGACATGTAGTATGGTCTCATCTCCACCTCTATAAACTTGACAGACCCTCATATTACACATATGTCTGCGAAAACGTTCCACATTCGTCATTATAGCTTGATGACCAACCAACCATAAAAAGACTCTAGCCCTCTCAGTCGCTTCCACTTTCCAAATCCGATCAAAGAACCTAGACATTTCTTGTCTCGGAGAATCATTTCTGGTTAACAACGAGTACGCCGACTTCACCGTAAAGGCTCCATCCGCCGTACCACACCAAGACAACCTATCCCGAGCTCCCGTAATGCTATCAAGCACCACCGCCGCCAACTCCAACCGTGTATTGTGCGGTAAGTACGGCATTATACTCTCGAGTTTCCACCCCGAGCCTTCAGCCCAATACTCTGTTACCCGCAGCTCCCTGTCTTCACTAGGTACCTCCCTTATCACTTTCTCCAGCAGCGACTGATCTGAAAGCCACTTATCCTCCCAGAAACGGATTTCCTTACCATCACCTAACACCCACCTACTTCCGCGGATCACCACTTCTCTCAAACCTATAGCCACACTTCTCCATGTTGATGAGGCTGGTTTCTTTTTATCCATCCATCTTGGCTCTTGTAACTCACCAACTTTGTACTTGCTCCTCAAAACCCGAGCCCACAAACTGGTTTTATCATTCAACAGTCGCCACCCGACTTTAGCCACCAATGCTATGTTCATATGTTTTGAAGACCGGATACCTAGCCCTCCTTCTCGCCTTGGTACACAAACTCTGTCCTAGGCCACTAGATGTTGTTTCCTTCTTTCCGGTGAGCTCCCCCACAGGAATGATCTAGCCAACTTATCAAACCCCTCCAAAGTGGACTGTGGTAGACAAATTACGCTCATTGTATGAACCGGAATAGAAGATAGAACTGACTTGGTTAAGGTCAGTCTCCCCGCAAAACTCAACGTGCGGCTCTTCCATCCGGCCAGTCTTGAGGACACTCTTTCTAAAACTTCTCCAAAAGTATCCTTGTTAATCCTCTTTTGCAGTATGGGCATCCCAAGGTACTTCCCCAGATCTCGAGTTGATTTAATCCCACTCTCGTCGCTAATCAACTTTTCCAAGTCTCTGGAGACATTATTAGAGAAAAATATTTTCGATTTTTCCAAGCTGACTTTCTATCCCGACGCCACGCAAAACGTCTCCAAGATATTCCTTATAATCCGAATTTGAGCCACCGAAGCCTCCGCGAATAAGATTAGATCATCGGCGAAACAAATATGCGAGAGTTTAGGCCCACCTTGCGATAGAGCAATCGGCTTCCATGCCTTCATTGCTATGGATCTATCAATCATATGACAAAGTCGTTCTAGACAAAGCACGAATAAATACGGTGACAGCGGATCACCCTGTCTCAACCCACGAGATGGCTTAAAAGATTCAGTTTGTTCCCCATTCCATAGGATACTCATCGACGGACCCTTTACACAGTTCAAGATC